CCAAGGGAAAAGAATTTCCCAACCGCAAGCGAGAAAAGTTGGTCCGCAACGAAGAAAAGTACCGTCAGGCCATGGCCGAACATGAAGAAAAGGCTTCCGAACTGTGTTACATGTTGGAAGTTGTCGTAAATCTGGCCTGGCAAGATATGATGCCACTGGTACAACATACCATAATCTGGGAAAGAAAGCGATACGACAATGACGACCGTTCCTATGCAGACATGTTCCGACAAGTATTGGAATCCCTCAGTCGAGAGATCACAAGGGTGGAAAAAGAAGAATCGACCGATGATCTGGAAGCTGCTCTCTTGATCCAAAGGGACAAGCATGAAATCCTAAAAGAAAAGCTTAACCGACTGCAAATGGCGCTCTCAGGCGATTGGGAAACCAAGAATGAACTCTTTCGGAAGTTTGATTTGGTGTAGTAGTTCAGAAATCATCATGATGTTAGATATGTGTGCAATATATATAAATGTTACTTCTAAGGACATGTGGCTTTTAAAAGAAGCATAGTTGTCAATCATTCATCTGGCTTTACCTAGGTAGTCATATGATGTCAAAACCGAAATGCACCGATTGGACTGGATCCGTCACCCCTTCTTGTAATACATACCGTACGACTTATTTTAAAATAGTTCTTATTGATACGTTCTGCTAAAGACATTACACAACGATGAAGTACAAAGCACTAAGGTCGTGAATTGGTAATCGATTGAATTGATGATAATGATGACGTTGCTGCCTATTATTGCTTTTGTTGTTTATCTATTTTGGTGTTGTACTGGTACATACATAGTTTATGAATCATAGTATACAGGAGAAATTGCTGCCTTCATGATGTTGATGGCTGGGAGAGAGAAAACCGAATCGTTTCACGTTATAGACTGGCCGCCATGCCCGCCGCGACAGCATCGCGAATAGCCGACATGTAAGCTTCTTTCTTGGCATCCGATGCCGCCTTGCTGTATAGTTCGGCAAGGAAATCTCTGGGATCTCCACAGTGCATGGGTTGACGCGTGTTGGCAAAGGCTTGCATGCCAAAGACAACCTTGTAGGCCTTTTGTCTTTGGCGTTGTCGTCGTTGCATGGTAGTGTCTTTGAGATCGACAATCCCGCGTTTGGAAAAGTCTTCGTCGTCCTGAATCTCCATTCCATTGTTCATGTGATCGACAATCTCCCAGGCATGAGCGTGTATCCTCGCGATTTCCTCTCGCGAAAAGTAGCAGTCTCTCTTCGACTGAGCGGAAATGGCATTGACGTGTGGAATTTCAAAAATTTCCACGTGGTCGGAAAAGGCGACCTTTCGCTTTTCTTGGTATTGGTGATCCGAAGATCCAAAGCTCATGGTTTCCAAGACCATCTTGGAGCAGATGTCGCTTCCCCAAGATACCAGGTCATGTTCGTAAACGGGTTGTGTCAACAATTCTTTTGAGTGTGGAGGCATTGTATGTTATGTTATGTTATAGAAAGAATTGGAAAAAAGATTGGTGTCAACCTTGCTTGGAGGGTGATTTTGTGCGTTGCAACGGATGATTGCGCAGAGAAGAAATTATGTGAGCGTACGATCGATTGAATGCCGAGATACCTAGGGAGGATTGATGCCGACACTAGAGAGCGAGACCGGCGATAGGATCTTGGAAAATATATTACTCTTCAGCAATGAATACTTTTATATAGTTTGGCGAGCTTTTCTGGGATACCTCATTACTTATATACAATGACCACGCACGATAGCTTTGTCCTAAGTGTGGTCGCAGAGACAAATTTGAATGCGGCCAAAAAATGAGGGAAACTTGACTACGCCGCAATGAGAAAAATCGAAAATCTTCTTGGCCGCAACCCCTTCTTATCTAGAGATTTGATTTGCTGCTGGTACATGCGAGGTACAAGTACCAGTACGTACCGGTATCTGGTACAGTATGCAAGATTGGATTTATTCTTTCGCAAGCCGATCGTGCTTCATACGGTACCAGGTACCGGTAGATAGAAACCAAAGAAGAATAAATCTGAATACCGGTAGGTAGAAAGCAAAGAAGAATAGAGTAACGGAAATCTCCAATGGAAGGAGATTCATTATTGATGTTCTCCCATCAGGCAGCAATCGTGCGTGTGAAGCCTTGCCTACCGGTATTGCAGTCAATCAATCGACGAACCCATTTCGGATTCTTCATGTTCGTGTCCAAGCAGTCGTGCATGTCCTGTAAATTCCTGAATCATGCAAATCGTAATTCTGCTGAGGTCTCTCTGTTGCTGTAGACCACAAGAGCACTGTGCTGGTAGCTACTCGACCTACTAATGGGAGGGTATATACGCACTACTACGATTCAATTGGTGAGTGAAGAAATTCCTTCCGACACTACGAGTAGACTTCATTATCTTTACAAACCTTTTTTCATTTTTGCTAGCGTGCGTGCCCTTGATGAATCATAAAATAAGTACCTAATACTCGTACCAGGGTACAGTACGGTACCACGTACCCATTACTATGATAGGTACGTACGGTACGTTACAAGTCTGGGTTGCAATAAAAAGCAATTGGTGGAGGTTGTTGGGGGACGAAGAAAGGGGACCGA